ACGACCCCCGGGCACACCGGGTGTGTGTGGGGGGCGGCCATGTGCACGCTGGGCGTGCCCGGGCTTGCGACGGGAGGGGGGGTGTACCTCCGGCGGAGCAGGAGGATGCGGTGACAGGCGAAGAGCCTGGACGGAGAGTGTTCTCTCCGAGACGGACCCCGCGTGGGCTCGCGGGCCCTGGAGCCTGCCACCTGCACTAAGGGGCTTCTCTGGGTCCGGGGGCCCGCCCCTCGCAGCTGAGCTCAGGAGCCAGGCAAGAACTCCGCTGAGGCGCCCCCTAGAGGCCATTCGACGCGTGTCCTGAACCTCCGTTGAGCAAGACTGGCTGTATTGCCCTAACTCTGGGACAAGATAATACAGAAAAGATTCTATACAGCACATTAAAACCACAGAATGGGGGACCGTCAGGGCCCCATGGGCCCTACTACAGGTTTGAACTGGTAACTCTGAGCAGCACAGTTAGAGGCTAGAGCTCCTCCTGAGTCCCGGGGCTATTCTGGGGCCCAAGGTGTTTGTGACTCCATATTCAGGGTGCAGGGCCCGCCACTAACCAACTCTGGGTTGAGAGCAAGTTGGGAGGACAAGAACCCACCTAGCTCAGATTCAGACCCTGGCCTTACCTATCTTCTGAACATTCAAAGTATTATTTCTCACAGTTGACTTTACTCAGTTCCTTACCCCATTTATATGGACAGCATCTGTCTTAGTTTACCCTTAGTATTGTATTGGAAACAAAGACACAAGTGCATATAATTAGTGTGAGAGTGAAGCCAGGAAGTACCACCAGAGGAGTAGCAAGGAGACAAGGAAAGCAGCCGATAGGGCCAGAAATGTAGCTCAGTGGTGCTGCGCCTGCCTCGAGAGCACAAGGTCCAGAGTTCGATCCCTGGTACTGCAAAAAAAAAAAGAAAGAAAGAAAGAAAACAGCCAATAAAGGAGGTATCATTGAACAAGTTGCCACTGCGGGCAACTAGGACCAGATTTCATGGGCATTCTGAGAGCCAGTGTAGAATATGGGCCTCACATTATTGCTGTACCCTAAGATGAAAGGGAGCTGAGGTACTTATTCTCAAATCCCTACTAATCATGGGTTGAGATCTGTTTGGGAGCATTAGTGCCCTGGCCTGGCTGACTTCTATCCTGCTCAGAGTGTGTGTGAAGCCTTTCCCATGACCAGAGAGAGAGAAACCTCTCTCAACCTAGCAGTTGAATCAGCAGACCTGCAAAGAAATAGTGGTGCCCAGACTGGTTACCAATTGCACAGATCCTGACTAGAATGCCTCTATCCTCCCATCCTTCACTCCCCAACTTGCTCCTCACCTGGGGCACTGTTGATTCCTTCAATAGGGTGCTCACGTTGCCCTGCAGAGCCCCTCAAACTATTCCCTTTCCAAGCACCCTCTTCTTCTTTTCCAGCAGATAAGCACTTAGAAACTGTTTATCTTTAGATATCTTTCAGTTCCCCAAGTCCCTCTAGCCTTCTCTTCCTCCCTTCCAAATCCTTGAGGCTATCTGCCTTCATAGGCTCCTTCCTCTGCTCAGGGAATGGCCTAAGATTTAGCCCTGGATTTCCCTTCTAGCCACATACCCTGTCTTGGAGCAATCTCTCTAGGCCATTGCCTTTACTCACATCTATATTTCTACCAGATCTCTCTACTCAGGTAGATGTGGATCCAGAGTCCACTAAATTCCATACAAGATTCCAAAGGAAGAGCAAGGAATGGGTCCTGGGATCACGTTATAGTCTCTCTTACCTCATCCTATCTGATTTGAGTTATGCCTGTGTAGTTAGTATCCACCAAAGTCTAGGTCAAGTCATATTATGCTTTGATGAGTGCTCCCAAAGGATTCCATCTAGAGATTTTAGGGCACCAGCACACAATATTTCAGCAGCATCCACTCAGAGAGCTAGGTATCCCATGACCCTTAACCCTAACTTACTCCAGCTCTTATTGCTAGAATGCATGAAAAAAAGGGATGGAGCTACCATTATTTTTTTTGGTGGGGGGAGCTACCATTCTTGTCCTTCCATTTTGCTCTAACCTCTAAGCTAGACATCACCAGAGAGGATCTTTCTAGAACACACCTGGGCTGTCATCTCTGGAGGCCAAGTTCTACCTCTTCTTGGATGTGGCTTCTGTTTGTCAGGTAGGTGCTGTGCCTGTTTAAACTACATTCCCCACCCAGTAGCTTCTGTTTGTATAGCTCTACTCCACTTGCACACAGAGGGTTAACACTGCTGGCTTTGGAAACTACTGTGATAAAAGGTGAGGTTGGGTTGGTCCTATGAGTGAACCAATCCTAACCCTGAACCATAGACAGGGCCAGAGACAGAGCTCACCCACAACTGAAGTGCCAAACTGGGACTTTCTGGGCTGGGGATGTAGCTCAGCAGTACACAGCATGAGGGGCCTGAGTTCCATTCCCAGTACCAAAAAAAAATGCAAAGAACAAATTGAGACTTTCTGATTATACCCTGAGCTGGATGTGGTGGCCCATGCCTGTGACCTCAGCATTTGGGAGGCTAAGGCAGGAGAATCACCAAGAGTTCAAGGCCAACCTGAACTACATAACAAGACCCTGTCTCAAGAAAAAAAAACAGACCGTTGTTTCCTCTGATAGGTTTGGACACTACCTCATCCATGAAACTAGGTGTCCCATGAACACTCCCAGCAGGGACTTAGAGGTCCCTAACAAGTAGAGTCTTTGGTCAGAGCTGTGAAGACCATTCTGACCCTTCATCTAAGCCCCTAGGGATAATTTTGACCTGTATTCTCTCTCTCTCTCTCTCTCTTTTTTTTTTTTTGGTTTTTTGAGACAGGGTCTCACTATGTAGTTCAGACTGCTCTGGAACTCACTGCAGAGCCCAGGCTGGTCTTGAACTTCCAGCAACCCTCCTGCCTCAGCCTCCCGAGTGCTGGGATTACAGGTGTGCACCACTATGCCAGCTTGACCTGTAGTCTCTTATTGGTTCTACTGGTCAGTGGACCTTATAACCACCATCCCTCTGCTGGCTGGAGGGAATAGGTGGAAAGACTGATATTCTAGTATTCCTCACAAAATGGCAGGGATTCTTGGCAATGTTAAGACTGAAGATGGGACTTTCTGCCATTGATGGGTCAAGGGTAAGCCAGAGTTTCCCTACTATATCTATGCACAACAGCCTGGGCGAATATACTCAGACCTACACTGGTATGTTGTGGCCCACAGACTGAATATGGACAGCTTCGGGCTTCTGTATAGAACATGTGATCACATGTGCACACCAGCCTTTCATGGAATATGAAGTAGACCCGTTCTCATAAAGAGAGACTTTCTGTCCTTGAAGGACATATCTTCACTGCAAAACAAAGGGGCTACAATGAGACACTCCCTGTAAGGAGGCACTATCCTCTTAGATCCTCTGGTCAAGTGTCTCAGACAGAAGTGGGCCTTGTCAGTGGCTACAGGAAGGCCAGAGTGGCCTGGACCTTGCCAGGAGCCACTCCTGGAGATCATACACTACCAGAGCCGCTTAGAAAGGGTGCCAACCCCAACTTGCATCCTAGCTGGGTTTCAGTAAGTCTTGATGGGGGCTATGTCCAAGGGCAAACCTACTCCTCAATCTCCTGTGCTTTGCTGTACTAGATTAGTTAGAACAGTCCTAGTAGCCACCACTTCCAGGAAGCCCTCCCTTGTACCCAACATGCCTTGCCTCAAGGCTTTGGAGTGAAAATGGGGTCTCAAGGGTCAAGGGTCACTAGGGCGGGCCGGGTCCAGGAAGCGGAAGTGTGGTACACTTCCGGCGCGCAGCAGGCGGCCATGTTGGAGCAGCGGAGGCGGCGCAGAGGCGCGTCTTGGGTCCCCGCGGCGGCGCGCGGCGC